AGCCAGAAGTTCGAGTGCTTCGAACCCTCCTCAGAAGACTGGGACTCCTACCTGTCCAGGTTCGAGTTCCATCTGGAGACACACGACATTACAGACGAGGCCAAGAAACGGGCGTGCCTCCTGAGTTCCTGCAGGAAGGGGACCTTCGACATAGCCAGGTCGTTGGTGGCCCCAACTGATATAAAGACTGTCACTTACGCTGACATCACTGAGAAGCTTAAGGCTCACTATTCTCCACAACCGTCGGAGATCGCCTGCCGGCACGCGTTTTACAAGCGGAGCCAGGCCGGAGGCGAGACCATCGCGGATTTCGTGGCGGCCCTTCGCAAAGCCGCACGGCCGTGCAACTTCCATGACGTGGAAGAAGCCCTCCGAGACCGTCTTGTGTGCGGCCTCAGAGACGAGAAGCTACAACAAAGGCTGTTCGCCCGTACCACTCTGACCTGGGCAGTGGCCTACGAAGAGGCCGTGGCCGCGGAAGCAGCGGAGAAGTCCACGAAGGAGGTCCGCCAGCGGATGGCAGAGCACAGCGTCCACTCGCAGCGGGACAGCGAGAGCGAGGAAGCAGACGATGACGTCAACGCGGTTCGAGGCAAGCGGACCCCAGCGAAGACTACCAACGTCAAGCCTTGCTCCGGTTGTGGCGGGAAACACCAGCGCGACTCCTGTTGGGCTCGTGATGTCGACTGCAGAGCGTGTGGGCGGCGTGGTCATCTGGCCAGAGTCTGCAGATCAGCAAAGAAGGATCCCTCAACTAACAACCGGTCAGCGCAGAGGGGCACTCCAGTCAGCACCCAAGGCAAGACCCATTCCTCAGCATCGGAAGCAAGCTGCCAGTTGACGGCGACCTTGTCGAGCGCATCGGCCGTAAATCGCACCAGCAGCCAGGGCAAGATCACCGTGACTCCACTCCTCGACGGCCGACCCTGTACAATGGAGGTGGACTCAGGATCGTCCGTGACGGTGATTTCTGCCGCGTCCTGGCGCCAGTTGTTCCCGAACCGAAGCCGGCGGCGGCTCCAGCCTGCGGGAACCAGAGTGTCCGACTTCCAGGGCAACCGAATTCCCTTGGCCGGACGGGACTCTGTTACTGTTGAGTATAAGGGGAAATGTGTTAAACTGTCATTCCTGATTGCAGAGGGAGACCGGGTTAACCTGCTAGGGTTAGATTGGTTTGAGCCATTGGGCATTGGTATTTCTGGGATTAACAGGATGTCTGAAAATAAATGGGGCATGCTGTACGACCTGTTCCCTGATGTATTTGCCGAAGGGTTGGGAAGGTACAAGGGCCCCCCGGTTGCGTTTGACTTAGATCCGTCAGTCAAACCTATTAGGTTGAAGTATCGGAAAGTACCTGTGTCTCTCAAACATAAGGTGGAAAAAGAGATTGACAAACTAGTTGAGCAAGGGGTTTTAGAGCCAGTACCATACAGCAAATGGGAGACCCCGATCGTAACCCCTGTCAAATCAGATGGGTCCATACGACTATGCGCCGATTACAAATGTACGATTAACAAGGCGCTGCAGCAACATTCGTACCCGGTCCCGGTAATAAGCCACATTTTGGCTTCCCTGGGGGGTGGCAAGATTTTCGCCAAATTTGACCTGGCCCAGGCATACCAGCAGTTGCCTGTCACCCCGGAGGCTGCCGAGGCCCAAACAATTGTAACCCACCAAGGGGCTTTTAAAGTGAACAGGCTGCAATTCGGGGTCAACGTAGCACCTGGGATTTTTCAGGGCCTCATGGAACGTCTACTAAGGGGGGTACCTGGCACAGTGCCCTATTTTGACGACGTGCTGATTGCGGGCGGGTCTGAACAGGAACTACTGGACCGGGTTAAAGAGGTCCTCAGGCGTTTTCAAAATGCCGGTCTCAGAGTTAAGCGCTCAAAATGCACGCTCGGGGTGGAAAGTGTGGACTTCCTGGGGTTTCGCATTGACGCAGAGGGAGTCCACCCCACGGATGAGAAGGTATCTGCAATCCAAAACGCCCCCAGGCCGGTGAGTAAGAAGGAGCTCCAATCCTTTTTAGGACTCCTGAATTTTTATCATGCGTTTTTACCGCATAAGGCATCAGTGGCGGCCCCTTTGCACGCGCTTTTGCACAAGGAGGCAAAATGGAAGTGGGGGCAGGCCGAGGAAAAGGCTTTTGTGGGAGTCAAGGAGCTGCTGACATCTAATGCCGTACTCACGCATTATGATGAACACAAGCTCCTGGTGTTAGCTGCTGACGCTTCACCTTTTGGAGTAGGCGCAGTTTTAAGCCATCTGATGCCTGATGGGAGCGAAGCGCCTATCGCTTTTTATTCTAGATCACTATCTGCGGCAGAGCGGAACTATGCCCAGATAGACAAGGAGGGTCTGGCGTTGGTAGCGGCTGTCAAAAAGTTCCATGATTTTATTTTTGGCAGACGATTTTTGCTGGTCACTGACCACAAGCCGCTACTGGGGATTTTTGCGCCCGATAAGCAATTGCCAAATATCATGTCCCCACGCATGCTTAGATGGGCGATATTTTTGCAGGCTTACGATTTTGACTTAGAGCACCGGCCTGGGAAAGCGATTGGGCATGCGGATGCCCTCAGCCGGTGCCCGGTGCCGGACATTGGCGCAGACCCTGCCCCCGCCTGTGAGGTCTTGGCAATTGAGGAGCTTCCTCGACCCCCGGTATCATCCAGGGACATTGCAGCACACACGGCCAAGGATAGCGTGCTGTCCCGAGTATTAAACTGGGTTTGGAGGGGGTGGCCGGTTGGAAGCGTTGAACCGGAGTTCGGCCCTTACAAAAGCCGTCAAAATGAACTATCCATTTCTAAGGGCTGTGTATTATGGGGGAACAGGGTGGTGGTTCCTGACAAACTCAGGACGAGAGTGTTAGAGTCGCTGCACGAGGGTCACCCCGGTATGGTACACACCAAAGCGTTGGCCAGAGGGTATGTCTGGTGGCCGGGGCTGGACAAAGAGATCGAAGAATGGGTACGAGGGTGTCCCAAATGCCAGCAAGTCAGACCCGATCCCCCACAAGCTACACCCCAAGGCTGGGAGTCATCTGGTAAACCCTGGGCCAGATTGCATATAGATTTTGCTGGCCCTCTCCAAGGGCAAATGTTCCTAATTGTGGTGGACGCTATGTCCAAATGGCTGGAGGTCGTGCATATGAAATCGACCACATCACTTGCTGTGATCCATGCGCTCCGCCGACTTTTTGCCACCCACGGGTTGCCTGACGTCATCGTCAGTGACAACGGGCCTCAATTTGTGTCTGAGGAATTTAGGCTCTTCCTCACGAGTAATGGCATACGCCAAATGACTTCGGCCCCTTTCCATCCGGCATCTAATGGCCAAGCCGAACGGATGGTCAGGACGGCCAAAGAGGCCCTGGGTAAAATGGACGAAGGGGACTGGAGCCAGAGGCTGGGCTCCTTTCTTTTGCTGCAGCACACCACCCCCTGTAGTGCTACAGGCCGTAGTCCGGCCGAATTGTTAATGGGGCGGAGACTCACGACCCGTTTGAACCGAATGCACCCAGACCTCACTGAAGAGCAATCCGAGCGTACCACGGCGCAACCGAAGGTGCGCATGTTTGAAAAAGGGGACAAGGTTTTCGCACGAAATTATGCAAACGGGCACTTATGGCTTCCTGGGGTTATATCCGACTCTGTGGGTACTCGAATGTATGTGGTGCAGTTAGCTGACGGTCGAATATGGCGGCGCCACATAGATCAGTTAAGGAGACGTTGGGCTAGGGACAGCGCTGACTCTCCGACGGCTGAATCCCCTGATGTCGAGTGGACACCCCCAGAGCAGGCGGTGAGTACCGAAAGGCCCGGTACTGTCCCCGAGTCAGGGCAGAACCCTGTGTGCGGGGCTGAAATCCCAGTCGAGTCTGTGCCTGATCCAGGCTGTAGTGAACCCCACTCTGACCCACAACCTTGTCTGCCCATGGAGCCTGCACCGCTCCGCAGGTCCCAGCGTTCGCGGCAAATGCCGACTTATCTGAAGGACTATGAGTGTAAATACTGTTGGAATAACTGATGTACAAAGGTTGATTGCATGTTTGTAAATAATAAAACAATTGGGATGATGGCTTAACTTAGGGGGGAGGAATTGTAATGTATTGAAATGATTACATGAATCACCTCATAGGACTCCCATGTTAAGCTTCGAGCCAGACCAGGGCTCCTCTGAGCGAACTTCCTATTGGTCGCTTCGTAACAGCGACCAATCAGAACGTGAGTTTAGTGCTTGTTCGTTACTTCCAATAAAGCTGAATCACTTGCTGAATCACTCTACGAGTCCATTGTTAGCGCGATCTAACACCGGGCATTACCTTTTATGGCACACATAAGAACATAAGAGACGCCAATGTTGGATCAGGCCAAAGGCCCATCTAGTCCAACACTCTGTGTCACACAGTGGCCAAAAATACCAGGTGCCATCAGGAGGTCCACCAGTGGGGCCAGGACATTAGAAGCCCTCCCACTGTTGACCCCCCCCAAGCACCAAGAAGACAGAGAATCCCTTGCCCCAGAGCCCCTATCTATACCTTGTGGCTAATAGCCACTGATGGACCTCTGCTCCATATGCCTATCTAATTCCCTCTTGAAGCCGTCCATGCTTGTAGCTGTCACCACTTCCTGTGGCAGTGAATTCCAAGTGTTAATCACTCTTTGGGTGAAGACATGGCCTGGCCCGACAAAGTACATTTATGTCAGATTCGGCCCTCGTATAAAATGAGTTCGACACCTCTGATCTAGGAGAACCTGAGGTCCTTCCCCTCTTCAACCCCCACCCTCCCCAGGCTCCGCTCCTAGATCTCCAGGAATTTCCCAGTCTGCACTTGGCAGCCCGGCAGTCAAATGGCTCAGGAACAGGAGGCAGATACAGCTGATGATGTGTTGGCTTTCACTGTAACAGACAGCAGGATTTTAACATTGGTTTGAGTCCTGATTTTCAGGTGGTTTTCTCCCCCCCCCCCCCCCCCCCCCGTCTCTTGTCAGGTGAAAGTCATGAAGACTGAAGTTCTGATTGGGGGCTTGTCCCCCAGCACTGAATACTCGCTGGCTGTGTATGCGATGTACGGAGAAGATGCTAGTGACCCTGCAAGCATCCAGGAAACCACACGTAAGTCGTGGTCTCTTTTTTTCATGCATCCTGTCTCACACAGGAGCAGAGACTCATTAGGATTGGCTACGTTAGGGGTGTGTGGCCTAACATGCAAAAAGCCCTGGGTTTTGACAACAAACAAGGTAAACAGAATAACAAGCAAAAGGTGGGCTTGGCTGGATGACCACACTTCTGGTAACACGGGGGTGCGTCCTAATGTGCTAATGAGCTGTGCTGTCAGGGGTGTGGCCTAATATGCTAATAAGTTTCTGCTGTTGGTTGTGGCCTATTATGCTAATGAGTTCCTGCTGGGCTTTTTCTACAAAAAGAGCCCTGATTAACAGTACGCAGGATTCCAAATGAGGCCTCACCATAGATCTATACAGGTGCACTGCAATATCTCAGTTCCTTTTCTAATAGTCCCCGACACGGAGTTTGCCTTTTTCACCGCTGCAGCACACTGGGTTGATGCTTTCATTGAGCTGTCCACTATGACCTCAAGATCTTTTCCCCTTGGGTCAGTCACAGCTCTCTCAGAGCTCTCTCAGGCCCACCTACCTCACAGGGTGTCTGTTGTGGGCAGGGGCGGATTAACCATTAAGCAGGCTAAGCACGTGCTTGGGGCACCAGGGCCAAAGGGGGCACCACAAAGCTGGGAAAAGGGTGGAAAACTTAGTTTGTACAGTATGTTGTGTTATCATATGGATAAATTTTTGTATTGCTGCAACCTGCATTGTATATCTGGTCAGACAGGTCAACAGCTAAAATGGACTGGGGGTCAGTGTGGAACGGAGTGGGGCACCACGATTGGTCAGTGCTTAGGGCACCAGTGAGCCTTCATCCGCCCCTGGTTGTGGGGAGGGGAAGGGAAAGGAGATTGTAAGTCGCTCTGAGACTCCTTCAGGTAGTGAAGGGCAGAGTGTAAAGCCAACTCTTCTTCTTCTTCTTCTTCTTCTTCTTCTTCTTCTTCTTCTTCTTCTTCTTCTTCTTCTTCTTCTTCTTCTTCCTCTAATCTGGGAGAACTGGGTTCTGATGTGACCTTGGGTCAGTCACAAGCTCTGGCACAGCTGTCCTTGAAAAAGGGCAGTTTCTGTCAAGAGTTCTCTCAGCCCCACCCACCTCACGGGGTGTCTGTTGTGGGGAGGGGAAGGGAAAGGAGTTTGTAAGCCGCTCTGAGACTCCAAGTGAAGGGCAGGGTATAAATCCAATCTCTTCTTCTCCTCCTCCTCCTCCTCCTCCACAAGTTCAGACCCCATTAGCCTATTCTTGAAGTTGGGATTGTAACATTAGGTGCTGGGGGAGCCAGGATGTGGAAGACTTTGATAGGTTCTGTCGAGCCAGATAGGAGTCCTCTCCTGGATCTGGTCCAAAACCAGTGGAATAACAATGACACAGAGTACAGAACGTTCAGGCCATCTGGGGGGGAAGGAGCAGAACTTGGTTGCCAGTCTCCAGGTAGTGGCTGGAGATTTCCCGGAATTACAACTGGTCTCCAGGTTATAGCGATCAGAGGAAATGGATGTTTTGGAGGCTGGACTCCATGGCATTATACCCCACTGAGGTCCCTTCCATCCCAGCCCCATATCCCACCTCCCCAGGCTCTACCCCCAAAATCTCCAGGGATTTCCCAACTCAGGCATGCTAGTAAAAATACCTTGAAACCCAATTATAGCTGCTGATGGTTTTCCTGGAGGGATACTGAGAACTGGGGTTTTGTTAGACGTCTGAGAAGAATTTCCCAAGAGCAATCTTTAGCTTCTTTTCTGAACGACGATGGCCAGGATGTCCTGGGAGAGAAATCACAGAAGTTAAACTAGATTCAGGCCATCCTGTCGATGACCCTTAAACGGCAGTTCTCCTATCTTGCAGTGGCCCTGAGCCCTCCGCCCCGCCTGAGTTTCTCAGACGTCAGCCATGGTTCAGTCCGGGTCAACTGGGAGGCGACGTTGCGAGCGGTGAAGACTCACCGGGTGACATATATGTCCAGCAGGGGGAGCAACACCGGGGAGGTGAGTGACCACGAAGACAAGGGGATTGATTTCCTAGATCAGCACAAGATCCACCTAGGCCAAGGGTCCCTAACGTTGTGCCTGCCATGGAGCCCACCAACACCTTCTCTGGCACCCACCAAGTCTTTCTAGACAGCGGGTGGAGCCAAGTGGGGCTTTTCCCCAGCAGGGCTTCTGATTGGCCATTGGAGATCTGATTGGCTTTGCAGATTTTTTAAAGTGTTGCTTTGGCAGCAGCTGCCACCATGGTACAAGGATCTTCCCCGTGGCACTGAGGTCCTTTCTGCACAAACAGCCAGTTTGGTGTGGTGGTTAAGTGCGCGGACTCTAATCTGGGAGAACCGGGTTTGATTCCCCACTCCTCCACTTGCAGCTGCTGGATGACCTTGGGCAAGCCGTAGTTCTGAAAAGAGCTGTCCTTGAAAAAAAAGATCAGTTTCTGTCAGAGCTCTCTCAGCCCCGCCTACCTCACAGGGTGTCTGTTGTGGAGAGGGGAAGGGAAAGGAGATTGTAAGCCGCTCTGAGACACCTTCGGGTAGTGAAGGGCGAGATAATAATAATAATAATAATAATAATAATTTCGATTTATTAATCGCTTTCCCCACAAGTGGGCTCAAAGTGATTTACAGTTACTCTTTAGACAGGGGACTAACAATGTTTTTCATAGGGGATAGGGAAGACAACATATAATTCATTTAAGTTGCACACGCCGTACTTTCCGGTGGAAACGTTTCTGGCTTGACTCAGTCATGTTCCGAACAGCTGCATCGCCACATTGCCACCGCCTGGCTGGCGCATCCCACTGCAGGGATTTTCTTAGCTGAGTAGATTGTTCCGCCTTCCGGGTCCAGACCAGGACGTCTCCAACCGAGAGCTAACACCTTCCCAGAAGGGAGTCGGTGTGCCCACCCTCTCTAAGGAATGGTTCCCATTTTATCTACTCGCCGAGGCTTTCGAATCGCTGGGTGGACGATGAGCTGGGGACGACAGGCTGGCTGCTCACACCAGCACGGGGCTCGAACTGACACAGTTCGGATGTTAAAACAGTGGGATATACCCACTGTGCCACCGCTCCCCACATATAAATCTAATCTCTTCTCTTATTCTGCACTAGACCTTAAATCCTGGTTCAACCCTGTCCCCGAACTTACATTCTACACTATACACGAGTTCACCCCTGTAATTATCTTGGGGTATTTTTTGTTTCCAGATTACACTGAGGTCACCCCAGTTTCGCCCCACAGTTGTCCCGGGATTAACGGATGCTATTGGTCCATTCCGCACTTATATCTCATCCCTGGTTTCATCAGAGTTCAACTCGTGACACAGTCCCTTGCATTTATCCCCGGTTATAACAGCATGTAATTACAACCTCAATGTAATGTGGAAACAAAAATACCCCGAGATAATTACAGGGGTGAACTCGCATGTAGTGTAGAATGTAAGTTCGGGGACAGGGTTGAGCCAGGATTTAAGGTCTAGTGCGGAAAGGACCATTATAACCAGGGATAAGTGCAAGGCATTGTGTCGCGAGTTGAACTCTGATAAAACCAGGGATGAGATCTAAGTGCAGAATGGACCTGAAAGCAAACGGTGGCAATGACACTGTGGGTGGGTCTGCCTCCTGCGGCCGCCATTTTGTGGCAGCCATTTTGAGGCTGCGCCCACCATGCTCTGTCAGAATTCTGAGGGTGCCCACAGGCTCAAAAAGGTTGGAGACCCCTGATAAAGGCCATCATTTTGTAGTCTGTTGTCTCCATTCCAAAATGGAGGAGAGGGGAATGAGATAAGTTGCTTTGGGTTCCCAGTGGTATAAATAAGGCAGGGTATAAATAAGCGACTAAATCAAGTATCCAACAATAGACCGGTAGATGTGTTGGGAATCTCTCAAGCAAAGCATGAAGGTATAATGGGATGGGGTTCCTCTATTGTTTGTTCTCAGCCTCCAGAAATCAGGGTCTATTGCTTATGTAAATTGAGGCTCCCTTTAGCTCTGATGGCTAGCAGCCATCGATGCGCCTTTCTGCCATGACCTTGGTCTAGGGATGCCAGACACCAGGTGGGACCTGGGGATCCCCTGGAATTACAGCTCATCTCCAGACTGCAGAGATCAGTTCCCCTGGAGAAAATGGATGCTTTGGAGGGTAGTCTCTATGGTATTGTACCCCACCGAGGTCCCTGTCCTTTGGGGATGTCGTGCACTGACACTCTGGTTTGAGGGCAAAACTCCATGGTAAAATTGCCCTCAGCCCATAGAGTTTTGCCCTCAAACCAGAGCAATATCTTCTATAGACATTCGGCAGATCTCATTTCATTTCATTTCAGTTGGAGGTTCCCGGCAACGTTTCGTCCGCTGTGCTGAAGCCTCTGTCGTCGCTGACAAAATATTTTGTCAGCGTGACTTCCATTTACGACGAAGGTGAATCCTTTCCAGTTACGGGCAACGTTACGACATGTAAGTAGGGGGTGATCAGCTTAAATGAGGGCTGCCGGGCCTCATACTATGGCGGGAGGTATCCTTTTGGCATCTCTCTTTGCCTGCCGCCTCCCAGAGCGGTGGGGGGAGGGAAAAGAGCAATGTCAACAACATCGCTATGTCACTTCCAGGAAAAACCTGGAAGTCACACAGGGTAGCTCTAGGAAGCTCAGGAAACTATGGTTTCCCATATCATGGTAAAATCATAGGGTTTCTGGCAATTGCTAGAGCTACCCAATGTCACTTCTGGAGAGGGGCTGTGGCTCAGTGGCAGAGCACCTGCTTGGCATGCAGAAGGTCCCAGGTTCAGTCCCTGGCGTCTACCTTTGAAGGGATTAGGTAGGAGGGGGATGTGAAAAACCTCTGTCGGAGACCCTGCCAGTCTGAGTAGACAACACTGACTTCGATGGACCAACGGTCAGATTCAGTATAAGGCAGCTTCATGTGTTCTATATGGATTGCTGTGTGCATAGATCATGTGTACAAATGATTCCTGCAAATATAACCATCTTCAGGTACTCGGAGGGCTGTCATACGGTATGGATGGTACAGAGTTGTTTTCTGCTGCCCCAGAAGGTGGGACCAGAACCAACGGGTGGAAATTGAATCAGAAGAGTTTTCAGCTAAACATTAGGAAGAACTTCCTGAAATTCAGAGTGATTCCTCAGTGGAATGGGTTCCCTCGGGAGGTGGTGGGCTCTCCTCCTTTGGAGGTTTTCAAACAGAGGCCAGATGGCCATCTGACAGCAATGCTGATTCCGTGAACTTGGCAGATCACGAGAGGGAGGGCAGGAAAGGTTGTATCCAGTGTTCCCTCTAAGCTGAGTTAGTGTGAGCTAGCTCACAGTTATTTAGCCTCTGGCTCACACAGTTTTTGTCTTGGCTCAGGAAGGAGGGCTCCAGAGCAAGCTAATTTATGCAGCAGCCAAATCGCTGGCTCACAACTTTCATGCCAGGAGCTCACAAAAGAGAATTTTTGCTCACAGGACTCCATAGCTTAGAGGGAGCATTGGCTGTATCCGTTTTTAGTTCTTGTGGCCCTTTCTTACATGTCCAGGGAAATCCTGATCGCCACTTTGGGGCCAGGAAGCCATTTTTCTCCAGGCCAGTTTGGCTGGAGATCCTGAGGTTTGATATGGGAATGGAATCCTCTCAGCCAATCAGAAGCCCAGGCTGGGAGGCAATAATAACTTCAGAGGTACCTGCACAGGATGGATGTTGAGGCAGATGCTTAATTTCGGTTACAGACCAACCACCCCCATCTGCTTTGAATCACACAAAGGTACCGACCGAGGAGAAAATAGGTCCTGATGTTCTTTAAAATAATTCCCTTTTGAAACATATAAAGGCCTGCCTGAATCTCTAAGCATAATTCTATTCATAAAACCAGAGAGATTCCAGTACATGAGTAACACGATCTCCCCCCCCTCTCCTTGAGCGCCCTCCTCGGTTCCTGGCAATGCCAAAACGGAATGCGTCTCCTCGCCCAGAGTTGAAATAGTCATGCTTTAATTAATGGCTGCAAAATATCACATCCCAGTCCTTCTGGACGTGCTTTTGTCATTGGGGTGTCCTGAGAAGTGAAAAGCGGGCTGGTTGAGGACAGCTGTCCGGTTGCGACTGTGCTCCCTCGCCATCTGCTCCGTGGCGTGGCCGCCCAATGGCTTCTCCTCTGAGCAACTGGGACAGAATGAGGAAAAACCTTCGGCATCTTCCCTTCCTTCGTCTCTCAGTAAAGGTGCCGCCACCGAGCCACCTGAAAGCCACGGAGCTCTCGGGAAGCGAGATCCGGCTGGAGTGGGAAGCGATCGCGGCGTCGGACGTGGTTGTCTACCAGATCAAATGGAACATGCTCGGTGAAGGGCGGTCGCAGGAGGTATGCGGGAGGAGCCGATTGGTGGGACTCACTGCTACAAAGATGAGCGTAAGAAGAGCCCTGCTGGATCAAACCAGTGGTCTCTCCTGTCCAGCATCCTGTCTCATACAGTGGCCAACTAGTTTATTTATTTATTTATTTATACATTCAATTTATATACCGCTCTAACCTTTTTTGGCAGGTCTCTGAGCAGTTTACATATATATTCCAAATTCCCTAACTAGGGCCACATTGTTGTTAGAACAGCATATATGTTAGCATTAGATGAATGTAAATGTTCTGTTGAATGCATTGTACTTTGAGCAAGTCATTTAGGGAGAACCCTGTTTTAATACTTTTTGTTGATAGGCAATGATACGCTACTGAAGACATTTGGGAAGATAGGGTTGAAGGGAAATATACTCATCTTACTAGCAGAAAACTCAATATAAAATATAGTTCCTCTGGAGGTCCAACAAACAGGGCGTAGAGGTTTACTGCCGCTGAATGTGGAGGTTCCTTGTCGTCACCAGGGTTGGTAGCCACTGATAGACCCGGGGATGCCAGTTTCCAGGTGGGACCTGGGCAGTGTTCCCTCTAAGCTGAGTTAGTGTGAGCTAGCTCACAGTTTTTTAGCCTCCGACTCACACATTTTTGTCTTAGCTCAGGAAGGATGGCTCCAGAACAAACTAATTTATGCAGTGGCCCAATCACTTGCTCACAACTTTAATTCCAGTAGCTTACAAAGTAGAATT